GCGACCCCAGAGCCACAGAGTGGGAGGCATGGGGGCCATGGGGCCGAGGTCTCACAGCCCGCCCTCCTTTGAGCTGTCGTGGCCCCAGACCATGCCTCAAGGCCTAGGGGCTGCAGTCTGGAAGAGAGGGTACAAAGTGTCTTTATTTTTTAAATAGCTTTATTGAGATATAATCACAGAACATACAACTCACCCTTTTAAAGAGCACAAGTCAGCGTTTTTAGTAGATTCACAGATATGCTCAGCCATCGCCACAGTCAACGTTAGAACCTGTCACCTTCGAAAGAACCCCGGACCCTGTAGCTATGACCCCACTGCCCCCTCCCCTTAGCCCTGGGCAACTGCCCATCTACTTCCTGTCTCTATAGACTTCCCTCTTCTGGGCATCTCGTAGAAATGGAGTCACACAATACATGGCTCCTGGTGACTGGCTCCTTTCACTCAGTGCGATGTTTTCAAGGTCTGTCCACGTTACGGCGTGTGGGCATCTCACTCCTTTCTATGGCTGAGAGACATGCCGCTGTATGGATAGACCACATTGTGTTTATCCACTCATGTCTTGGTGGACATTTGGGTTGTTTCCACTTTTTGGCTGTTATACATAATGCTGCTGTGAATATGTGTATACACGTTTCCGTGTGGACGTATGTTTTCAGTTCTCCCGGGTAGACTCTAGGAGTAGAATTGCTGGGTCACACGGTAACTCCGTGTTTAATCATTTGAGAAACTGCCAGACTATTTTCCAGAGTGTCTGCACTGTCTTACGTTCCCACCAGCAGTGTGTGAGGTTCCGATTTCTCCACACCCTTGTCAACACTTATTATCTGAATCTATGATTCTAGCCATCTAGTGTGCGTGGAGGTGGCGAGTTCTGAAGGAGGTTTGCACGGGGGCCTGGTCTGGGGTGGCTGGTGGCAGGTGTGTGGCTGTGCCTTAGACACCTCCTAAGAGGGCCTCCCTGCTGCCACTGCCACCGCCAGGAACCAGGCCATAGGCCTGGCCCTGCCAGGGGCCTCGTCTCTGCCCTGCCGGTCTCAGCCCTCCAGTCCCTGGAGTGGGCTCCCCGGGGACCCTGCTGGCCTGCAGGCTCACCCCCACGGCGCTCCCTCCCAGAGCCCAGCCCTGATGCCCACCGTTTTCCCTGTGGTTTCTCCGGATTTGCACTGAGGCCAGGCGCCAGGCTAATGTCACTGTCATTGACAGGGTGGCTGTCATGTGTCACCAGGCACAGGGCCGCTCACAATTTCTCTTCTCCTCCTCAGACCTGGCTTTGGGCTCAGGGGGCTCACGGGGCCGGCCAGCCCCCAAGGAGGACCCAGCTCCACAGCCCTGTCTGGGTGGCCCCGTGCAATTTCCTCCCATAGAACCTGCTCAGGGATGCCCTGGTCGGGAGTGCCACGGTCTGGGTGCTGTAGGGAAGGGGAGTGACCTCTGCCTCCCTTGGGCCCGTTGTTCCCATCTCGGCACTGCCCCCTGGTGGCCACGGCTGGTGCCGTCTAGGGGTGGTGATGGGATACACAGGCCTGGAGCATAAAGGTGTCTAGCTTGCTGTTGAGCCCCTCTCTGTGTCAGGCAGAGCACACGGGACATACGTGATCTCACTGTCCCCAACAGCCCTGCGGGCAGGTACTGTGGCCATTCCCGAATTACAGACGAAGAATTGGAGACTCCGGGCGGTGAAATAACCGTCCAGAGTGAGCTGTCCTCACAGGTCCAGGCTTTCAGACGGTCTTGGAGTCACATCCAGGCAGCTGGGATCGTTTCCTCCCCAGCACGTCCCTCCCACGGGGTCAGGAGGCTTTGGAGCGGGGGTGCGCCCTCCTGGGGCTGTGCTCCAGATCGGACCCCAGAATTCCCAGCCGACCTGTCTGAGCTCACCTCCCCGGCCTGCATGGCTCTCCCTGAGCCTACCCCCTGAAGCGTCCCCCCAGGGCGCACACCTGTGGCTGCAGCCACTCGCAGTGTCAGGCAGAGAGGGGGTGCCAAGCAGGGGCCTGATCCTGCACCTGACGTGCAGGTTTGTCTGTCGGGGCAGGAAGCTGGGGCGTGTCTGGCTGAATGGTTTGTTAGGTTGGTTGATAACTCTTCAAATATTTGGACAAACGTGAGAGCTGAGAATGTCCGGGAAGCCTGGGGGGGGTCTTCCCACTGACACGGTGCTCTCTGGAATCATGGTGCGGGGACCAGGTGTGTGGCCATCTGTCCCTCACATCATGACTTGGGGACCAACAACGAGGGGCCTACTCAGATGCAGGCCATGCCTGGGGGGCTGGGAATACAGCAGTGAACCAATAGCAGGGTGCCCCTCCCCTGGAATCCCGGTCTGGGGACACACGTGTGGAAAGAGCCTGGGAGTGTAGGGTGGTAGGCTCTCGGGGCTCCCCCATACCTCCCTACATGGACCTCAGGACAGCAGGTGGACCTCCCTGTGCCTGCCTCCCTCCCTCCCTCAGGGCACCAAAGGGAGCACTTTGTGGAGGGGGTGGAGGAGGGAGCAGAGTGAGTGAGTGAGGGAGTGGGTGGGTGGGTGAGTGAGTGAAGGTCTCACGCACACGGGCTGTCTGGTCGGCTCTCAGCCCTCGGGAACCCCACCACTAACCTGAGAACTTTCCATGAGCAATGTGAGTCAGATGGAAAATCAAACGGCCTGTGGTCAGTGACTGAAGATACAGACATGACGGGACCATCACCACCGCCAGGGAGAGGAGCGTGGTGGGAAGGCGGCACTCACGCAGGCTGTGCCTCCAGCCAAGGCGGGCCCTGGCTCCTAGCCCAGCCCTTGCCCACCGCCTCCCCAGCTGCCCCTGGTGCCCTCCACCCCCTACCCCCCGGGGGCTCAGCCTGGGGCTGGCCTCATTCCCAGAGTGCCCCTGTGTCCAGCACGGAGCCCGCACGTGGCCGGAGCCAGGCCCTTCCCACCTGGGCCCCTAGCGGTCCCTCCACTGCGCCATGGACGGTGGATGGCTGGGTCCTAAGTGCGGACAGCCTTGACCCCCTGGTCACAGTGAGAAAGGCTCTGGGCTCCCCAAGGAGAGAGGACAGAAGGCGGTGCGCACGGCGGAGCACGTCGGGTCAGGACACCCGTGGACCCAGCGGTGCCAGCGCTGGGCGCCCAGATGGCCCCTGGAGCCCAGAATGTGGCCTTGAGACAGAAGAGGAGACACAGAGACGTGCGGAGGAGGAGGCCATGTGAAGACGAGGCAGAGGGCAGTGACATGGCCACCAGCTGGGAAGGCCAGGGGTTGCTGGCAGCGCCAGGAGCTGAGGGGGGCCTGGAGCAGACCCCCCTCAGAGCCCCAGAGGGAACCAGCGCCGCCCACACCTTGCTCTCCGACTTTCAGCCCCCGGAACTGAGAGAGAATAATTTTGTTTTAAGCCACCCAGTGTGTGGTAATTAGTTACAGCAGCCCCAGAAACCAACACAGAAAACACGGTGGAAACCTCCCCCAGCCCAGAGCATCCCAGACTGTTCCTAGAACCCGCAGCCCATCCCTGTGAGCCCAGGTGCCCGCCCCTCCCACGGGCCTGGCCTTCCAACAGAGCCCTGGAGGAAAACGTTTACCCGGAAAGGGAAAATGACAGTATTTTATTTAAAAAGGAGGTTGGGACTGACGTGTATCTTTGCCTTTTTTTTTTTTAACTTATTTTCTTTTTTTTTAAACTTATTTTCTAAATGTATCCTCTCAACGTCTCTCACAGTGAAGAACGAGCATCAACAGCTGCCGTACAGAAATGAGAACATAATTCAGCACAATGGCCTGGCAGAGTTTCCACAGAAAACCCACGCCTGCACTGTGCTTCGGGGGTCCCGGGGCCCCTCTGTGTGGCGGGCGGCCTGTGGGGCTCGCTGGGTCACAGCGCTGTGCTGGAGGGGTGGGGGGGCGTATGTGAAGTGCTTGAGGCGAGGTAGTGGGTCAGCCCCCGATGCTGACCCGGTGAGGTAGGTGTCATTGGCCTTGTTACAGATGGGGAAACCGAGGCAGCGACATGCCCTGGCCTAGATGAGGCTTGTCAGGGGCAGAGCCAGGCTCTGACTCCGAGCTGTGCGGTTTGCAGGCGCCCACTTTCTCTCGGGCGCATGGCAGACCCTGTTCCAGGCTCTGTCCGGGCTCCATGCCCACGTTGATGAGGGGCTGGAGGCGCCGAGGGGCTGTCACCTGCCTGCTCCTGATTCGCCCTGTCCCAGCCCTCGGCCGGCCTCTCCCCCGACAAAGAAGCCAGAAGGCCTGATGAGAAGGAATTCCACAGTCTCTGAGCCTTGAGGGCAGCCGTGTCACCTTTCCTGGGGTGCCCGCCAGCATTGCCAGCCAACAGCTACTCCTGACATGAGCTCCTGGGGCTCCCCACTTCCCTGCTGGAGCCAGAGCAGCTGGCACCCCGCCCCACAGCCCCCCTGAGGGGTCTGCAGCAGCCTAAGGCATCAGACCTGCTCGGCACAGCGCCAACCCCAGCCGAGGGCTCTCGAGGCTGGGATCCTGCCCGCTCATAGGTCCTGGTGGTCCCACAGTGATTGGGCACTGCGCAAAGGTGCACGGTTTGTGTGGACATTCTGAGGCGGAAGCCCAACGGCCCCACGATTACTGTCACCGTCATCCAATCACCACTGGCAGAAAAGCACAGAAAATGAAGTCATTACCGTGGATGCCGACCGGGCCCCCGCCCCGTGCACGGCATGTGCCAGCTGCCGGCAGCACCAGCAGGCACGTGGCCTCTGCCAACAGCCCTGCTGTTTGCTAATAGCCAGGTGATCCAGCCAGAACAAGCCATGGATGAAGAGGCCCTCCTGCCTGCCACGAGCTCCCTGGGCTCCCTACAGCCTGGAAGAATCATCTTACCCTGGTGTGCTGCCACCTTCTTCACCCAGTGGGAGAGCCTGATGGGCTGGGCCCCCTGAGGGGCAGAGGCTCACCGAGGGTGTGGCTCCTGGAATGAGAAATCCGTGGCGTGTCTTCCAGAGGGGCTCCACGGCCAGTGCCACAGACACTGGCAGGTCAGCTCAGTGGAAAGGAAGCCAAGCTGCTGGCCCCTGGACTCCCGCACGGGCCGTCCTGCCCTGCAGGGCACTGGGCTCAGCAGGACTCTTCGTTCAGCGTCTCCAGGGGGCACAGTGAGCCCCAGGTGCCCAGCTGTGACCCTAGTGGGCGGACAGGCCTGGGGAACATGTGGCCATTTGCGAGTGACATGGGCAATTGCACCTCCTCCGAGTCCTTCGAACATGTGAGCTTCATGACGTCTGTCTTTGTGGGCCACTTTTTCCACTCCTTGTGGATTCTGGACACTTCTTGCCATGAATGGGTGGCCAGCACGTAGATGATGGGGTCGGCCACGCTGTTCACCGTGGACAGGCAGAGGAACACCACGGAGACCGTGTACAGGCTGGCTTCAAAGGCACACACGGAGGCCACGTCCCCTTTGTAGTAGGAAAAGGTGACAGCTTTGACTAGGAGCACCAGGTGGTAGGGAGCGAAGCAGATCAGGAAGATGACCACGACCGCGATGGCCAAGTGCTTCACCTTGGCCTTCTGGGCGGCGCTCAGGGACACGCTTAGCTTGATGCTCCTGAAGATCCGCTGGTTGGTGAAGGTGATGATGGCGAGAGGGATGGCGAACCCGACGGCGAAGCGCCAGTAGTGGTACCCAGCGATCCTGCTGGTCATCGGCAGCGTCTCAAAGCAGGTGCCCTTCTCTTCCATTTGAAATACCGGGTAGTGAACAAGCCCGACGAGGATGAAGACACACGTGGAGACGAGGATGGCCGTCTTCTGCTGGCGGCGGCCACGGCTCTCCAGAGCGTACACCACCGCCATGAAGCGGTCGCAGGAGATGCAGCACAGGAAGAGGATGCTGATGTACAGGTTGCAGAAGAAGATGTAGGCAGTGACCTTGCAGGCCCACGGGCCCAGGGTCCAGTGGTGCTCGTTCTGGATGTAGATGATCCAGAGCGGCAGAGTGCCAATGTAGAGCAGCTCGCAGAGCGCCAGGCAGAACAGGTAGACGGCCAGCACGTTGCCCTGCCGCACATGCAGCAGCGTCAGCCATGCCGTCAGGCAGTTGGCCGGCAGGCCCAGCGTGCACACCGCGCTGTACACCACCACCAGGAACACCCTGCTCTCTTCATAGGACACGCTGCAGTTCGAGGGAGCCACACCCAGAGACAGGGTCACTGGGGTGGTGTTTCCTGCGGGACAGAGACAAGCATGAGGACGGGTATGGCTGGGAACCACCTGGAGGGGACTTGACGGTGCTAAGAAAGGATAAGATTCATGCTAACTCCAGACTAGACCCACCAGGTGTTTAAAAATTTCCAAATGAGTTTCTTAAAGTGATCCTTAGATCATTGATCTCCAGCCCAGTGGCGTCACAGACAGAGAACACAGGCTGTGCAGTACCGAGTCCTTGCAACTCGCTGAGGTCCTTTCTCAGAAGCGTTGTTTGTCTGCTTGAAAATGTTTACTCTCTCATTGCTGAGTGAGTGCTCTTCTGAGCACGTTCTCAGCAGAGTCTAGGATTAGGTGCTGCCCCCACCCTCTGCTAGCAGCTTCCATGCTTCGCCCCCCACCTGCTTCCCCAGCTTGGCGCAACTTCATCCTAATCTGTAGTCTTATCTCTTTTGTGCCTCCTTTAACTATTAATTACTGAGAAAGACGATTAACAGCCCCTGTTGTGATGGTGGATTTGTCCCCTTCTTGTAGTTCTCTCAAGGTTTGCTTTATATATTTGAAGCTATTGTTAATCGGCGCATGTGAATTTAAAACGGTTCTGTTTTCCCAATGACTTGACCTCTGTATCATTATGTCATGGTGCTCTTTATCTCTGTGGTAGGTGGAATAATGGCCCCCCAAAGATGTCCACATCCTAATCCCAGAACCTGTGAATGTGGTAGTTTGTCTGGCTTATGTGCAATTCATGTTACATGGCAAAGGGGGATTAAGGTTGCAGATAGAATAAAGTTGGTTAATCAGCTGACAATAGTAAAATAGGGAGGTTATCATGGATCATCTGGGTGGGCCCAATGTAATCACAGGGTCCTTGGATGTAGAAGCAGAAAGGAAGGAGATTGGAGTGACGGGATGTGTGAACAACTCGACCAGCCACTGGCAGCTCTGAAGATGGAGGAAGGGGCCACGAGCCAAGGGATGTGGACACCTCTAGAAGCCAGAAAAGGCAGGAAATGGATTCTTCCCTGGAGCCTCCAGAAGGAACAAAGCCCTGCGACACCTCAATTTTAGCCTATTTCACACTTCTCAACCCCAGAGCAATAAAGATAACAAATTTGCAGGTTTTTAAGCCTCTAAGTTTGTAATAATTTGTTACAACAACAATAGGAAAGTAATATAATTTCTCATAATGGTTTTAACATAAAATCTTTTGTCTATTATTTAATATAAAAATATCAGCTTCCTTTAGATGACTATTTGGTATATTTTTTTCCAACCTTCTACTTTCAACCTATCTGTATCCTTATGTTTTAGACGTGACACTTATAAAAAGGTTACAGTTGGATTTAAAAATTTAACATTCTTGTGTGTATTTATAATATTATTAATATATTTTGATTTGTTTTCTCATTTCGTACTCATTTTCTGTTTGTTTTTATTCCCCCTTTGCCTTCTGTCGTGGGCTGAATTGTGTGCCCCCAAAAAAGACACGTTGGAGTCCTGACCCCCAGCACCTCAGAACGTGACCTTCTTTGGAGATGGGGTCTTTACAGAGGTGATTGAGTTAAAATGACGTCACTAGGGTGGGCCCTAATCCAGTGTGACTGTGTCCTTATAAAAAGCGGACCTTTGGACACAGGGAGGAGATGGCCGTCCACGTGCCAAGGAGGGAGGCCTGGGACAGGTCCTTCCCTCAAGGCCTCAGAGGAGCCCACCCTGTGGACGCCTTGACATCTGACGTGCAGCCTCCAGAGCTGGGAGAGAATCCACGTCTGCAGTTTAAACCACCCGGTCCATGGTGCTTTGTCACAGTGGCCAAGCAAACTAACACATCTTCTTTTGGATTTATTGAGTTCATTTTTTAAATTCTGTTTCCCCCCCACCCCACCATTGATTTGGAAATTATTAAGTCTATTTTTAATCTTTTAGAGATTACCCTGGAAATTTTAATGTGCACATTTAATAGCGTCTAAAGTCAATCAAAACCTTCCCCCTCCTGAATTTTCGAGAACCCTCAGAACTGTTATCCTCCTGGGCCTCATCCGCTTGTGTGTGACTCTGGTCTAGTCATTTCCGTTGTGTGGGGTTTTGTGCTTGTTTTTAACCCCACTCGTCAGAAGTTATGATTCCACACCAGCCAGTCCAGTTTACAGCTCGCCACGGGCCGGCCTGTCTTTTCCGAGCTCCCTTCCTGCATCCCCGGTTCCCTGAGGTCCTGCTCCTCCTCCCCTGAGGACCCTTTACAAATTCTGAGAACAAGGGCCTGTTGGTACAAATCCTCCCAGCTTTTGTTCATCGAAATGCCTTTCTACCCTGATTCTAGAAGACGGTTTTCTGGGGGTCCACCTCAGCTTGAGCACACTGAAGCCTTTCTTCTCCAGTCTCCAGGCTTCTAAAACCGCAACCTCAGTGCCCATTTGCCAACAGAGCCTCACAATGCCTTCTCTGGCCACAGCAGCCACCAGCAGGGAGACCTCCATGTTCTGGCCTGGGGAGTGGACAGCTGCCTGGACAGGCCTGCTGTGGCCTCAGGGACAGCACTGAAGGGGCCACTGCTTCTCCAGCCTGGTGACCCCTGAGTCCTGGAAGGCACTTTTGTTACTTACATTTGGGGCGTGATGACCCCTTGACTTCTCCACATGGACCAGCAAGGAAGACTCGGCATGTCCCAAATGCTGACATCACCTCGGTGTCCCAGCCAGCCGTCCAGGGCTCCCAAGGCCTCGCGTGCTGTCTCCCAGGGATTCCAGCTGCCAATGTCCACGGCACCGTCACCAGCCTCACCCGGGGCAGGGCGACTTGTTGTGGAATTAAACGGGGGACAGCGATGGAGAGCACTGCTGTTTCCTTAGCTGAAGAGTTGTCACGAAGGAATCAAATAGCCAGTCCCCAGGGCAACGGAGCCACCTGGCCCCCGCAGCAGGATCCTGATGCCCTATCATGCTCTCACTCGTTTCTCTCGATTTTTTTTCCAAATTTTTTTATTCTGGTGAAATATACATAATATAAAGTTTACTATTTTAAGTGTCCAGTTCAGTGGCATTGAGCACATTCACATTGTTGTGCAGCCATCCCCACCATCCATCTCCAGAACTTTTCATCTTCCCAAACTGAGACTCTGTTCCCACGAAACACTAACTCCCCAGCCCCCTCCCTCAGCCCATGGCACCCACCATTCTGCTTTCTGTCTCTATGAATCTGACTGCTCTAGGGACCTCATATGAGTGGAATCACACAGTATATGCTGTTTTGTGACTAGTTTATTTCACTCAGCATCAAGTCCTCAAGGTTCATCCATGTTGCAGCATGTATCAGGATTTCCTTCCTTTTTAAGGCTGAATAATATTCCATCGTGGGGAGTTACCACATTTTGTTTATCCCTTCATCCATCAATGGACAGTGGGGTTGTTTCCACCTCTTGGCTGCTGTGAATATGGATGTACAAATGTCTCTTCAAGACCCTGCTTTCAGTTCTTCTGGGCACATACCCGAAAGTGGAATTGCTGGATCGTATGGTAAGTCTATTTTTAACCTTTTGAGGAACTGCCATACTGTCTTCCACAGCAGCTGCACCATTTCACATTCCCACCACAACCTCACCAACACTTGGTATTTTGTTTTTTTGATAGTGGCCATCTTAATGTGTGTGCAGTTGTCATGCAGCTCATTTCTCTGCACCACGCCCCCCAACTTCCTAACATTCTGGGAGGTGTGCTGCCACCCCTACCTGTGTGATGGAGGGGTCCAGGCGCAGAGGCATGAGTGAGTGGGCCAGATCTGGTTGTCAGTTCTTCACACAAGAGATGGGGCTGCAGCGAGTGGCCGGGGTGGGGGCGGGGGGAGCCCCAGGCCGCAGTGGGCCGTTCTCAGGTGGGAGGTGACACCCTGTCTTTGCATGAGCTTTCCTTCCACCTAGACAGCTCTTCCTCCTCGCCGTGCGAGGCCTCCACGGAGCTTACCCCACTCCCTGGCCCCAGCACTGCCCTGTCTCCATCTCAGTGCCGACCCCATCTCACCACACCTCGAGAATGGTCGCACACTCTGGGGGCAGAGCGTGAGGGAATCCAAAATAGGGGGAGGCACACGTGAGGCCTCCTCCCAGCCCTCAGCCTCCACAGAGTGGCTCTGGTCCCCTCCCTGCTCCCTACCGCCCCCACCAACACTGCCCACTCCTGTGGCGTGGCTGCTGGACTCTTAGTGTAGTTCAAGCCCACACCACCTGCTCAGGGCCACACATGATGAGACACTTGGCCTCTGGTCTTCACCTTCCCACGCCAAGTCCCTCCTCCATGCCCAATCTGGTGACCAGCCCGGGGTGCACAGGTGACAGCCTGCCCGCTCGCCCACCAGTGCACACAAGGGGCCCTGAGCTCCCGGGAGAAGAGCCTTCCTGGGGTGGGGGCAGAGGAGCCTCTGGAGAAGGGGGAGGCTCCCACGGGGCATCTGTGACGCCTCTCCAGCTCGACACTGGGTCTGTCACAAGAGACGGGTGCGACCCGAGGCCCAGACGACACCCGGAGCCTGCGGGTCTCCTCCCAGTCCCATTCTGGGTTTTTTCCACACTTCAAAGAGTAAGAAACGGGCGCTTCCCCGTGTCTTGATGGAGATCCTCTGGCTTTATTGTTTCTGAGTTAGTTTTTATTTCGATAAACCAATTTTTGCATGCTAATTTTTGAAGTAATTATCCCTGTTATGAGACTAAGTGCACTATAGAAAAGTTCTTCTGGGCTCCCTCCTAAATGTCTAAAGTCAAAGGAGGCGTGGGCTGGGGGCTCTCACCTAGCATACTGTGGGTTCCGGTTTCAGTCGGCTCTGCAGTAAGCCCTCCAGCACTCCTCTAAGTCTTGTCCGTCCTACTGAGAAGTTTACTCCGAGAGTTTAAAATGACCTGGAGAAAGAGCACGTTGAAACTGCTTTAGGGAAATCAGATTAAATCACAAATAAAGTCATTTGACAAATGGTTAGCGAGCATTTATGATGCGCCAAGTCTTGTACTTATCCTGTGGGATACAACAGCAGAGCCTTAATATATAAAGAACTCCCACAAATCAACAAAAGAAAGAAATGTCAAAGACAATGCTCAGATAATTCACAGAAGAAATAGAAATAGCTCCTAAAAATCTGAAAAATGCTCAACTGCACTTATAATCAAAGAAATGCGAACATCCAAATGATAGTCTTTTTTTGCCTACTAGGTTAACAAAAACACAGAACTTCAATTCTCAGTGTAGATGAGAGTGTGAGGCAGTGGGTTCCCTTTACCGTGCAGACGGAGCATAAACTGGCACAAATGTTTCAGAGCACAATTTTGCAACATGTTTCCAATAATCTTCAATGTGCTTGACTTTTGATCTGGTAAAATCCTACCTAGGAATTTTTCCTGGTGA